CTAAAATTTTCCTCAATTTGAACCTACTAATGTCTTCGGAAATGATCTTTGAAAATATTTAATTAAATAGTTTATTTCGCTCGTTTTACTCGTTACATTACGTTACGTTTATTTCGCTCGTTACATTGTACATTGTGAACCGTAAAATAATATCATTCAAATCAGTTTATTGTATACAAACTAAAGCCGCTATTAGCTTTCAACATTTACTAAAATGAGTTTGATGAACATCATTGGCCATTTAAATAACTTTGTTCAATTATTGCAGATGTCTTCAGGTTTGGTCCAACTTGAATGTTTGTCCTCTTCGTAAGTGTGTTTGGTAAAACGTTAACTTTTTTAACTGTGGGTTGAGGTATTGATGGACGAATGAAGCCATCCATCAATTGACCATAGATCGAGATCCCGAACCAGATTCCAAGTATACTGCTAATGTATATTAGAAGCTCGGTAAATGTTGACTGTGGATACGTTTTAAGAATGATATTGAAATCGATTTGATTCGCCAAACAGATTAAGCCGAGTCCAGAACCTTTCTCTTTGAATGTTTCGCCTTGAGTTCGATAGGTTTTCTCAATGCATTGAAGCTGTTCAATTTGTTTTGCACATTCACTTCGCATTTGTGATAACAAGGAATGATTTGAGTAAATATTGAAATTGAATCTACAATTAGCTGGAAAGTCGCCAGCCTTAACAACATCTAGCATTCCGATAGTTCCTGGCATTGCTTGAGATATTTTATCGCGTAAACATCGAGCGTATGTTTCTGTTCTCTGATAATGACGACAATTAGTTTGATAAGGCCATTCACTCCTTTCAATGATTATCTCTCGTTGACGGAGAAAAGTAAATACATTTTCATCCTTTTTTCTCTCGATTCTAACGTAATTATTTATCGTGGGATCAATTTTACTGTTTGGGTGAGTGAGACGAACGCCGAATTGATGAGTAATATTGTGTAAAATACAAAAGCGATCATAAGCCTCAGTATCTGGTAGCAATCGCTTCTCTATTGGCTTTGAATCTTCTCGACACGAGACTCGAATGTATGTAAATGGTGCAGAGAAGTACTTTTTAAATGTACATAAATCGTTTTGAATCGTATCGTCTATTTTAGCTTTGTAGATCAATGAGTCAACATCCAACTTTTCAATATCCCCAACGGTCAGCAGCATTGCAAGATCTAAGCTGGTTTCGAAATAAGATTTAAATATTTTCACGCAATCGGCGTTCATTTTTCCATTCGATATGATTGTTAAGTTTGACATTCGTAATCTAGATCTACATAAATATGCAATCTTTTCCGGATGCTTGAGATAGAGCTCAGTCAAATTCAACAAATCAGTATTGTACATGATAATGTCGATTTCAGGAACAACCAGTTTCTTTGGATAATCGTAAATAATATCAGTTCGCACAGGAAACTTTAGAAATTCGTTGACAACATGAGCAAGATGAAAAAAACAACCAATCGAACAAAATGTTAAAGTTAAAACTCTTCTGTTCAACAAAATCATCTTAACATTAATTACTGACAATATTCAATTCTGAATAACTGATTCGAATTCATTAAAACACATTTATTTCGCTTTTTTATTTTCTGTGATTATGAAAATCGGTCCAGCAGTTACTTAGGAAACCATTAAATGATCGATCAGATTGGATCAGAAAATGATTGTAAAAGATTGATCAAAGATCAACTCTGGTCATAATCATTTCCAATCAATTCATCATCACCAAGCACAAACAATAATTGTAAATTGAATTATTGATTTACTATTCTTATCAATCTTATTCCCAGCGATCAAATGTACAAACTGAGAAATGAAATTACTCGATTTTTCTGAAGTCAAGAAAAGACTTTACTGTCCATATTTCATACCTATTAATTTTCAATATTAAATGGTTTAGAATAAAATTTCATGATTTATTAATCGACAGTTGAATGAATGGCTTCAATTAACGCTGAACTGAGTCTCATCAATTTCAAATGTTTTGTCTCACTGAGTTCAAGTCAATTATTAGTTTGAAAATGAAAATGAAACTTTCTCTTCACAATCTGTTAATTACAGTAAATTGATGCTCATTGAGTTGATCAGTCATTTTATTTTCATGCATCTTCATCAATCCAAGTGTTTTGCGTCTTTTACCGTCTTCAACTAATTGAACAATCAGGGCCTTTAATCATTTGAATCTTGAACCATGAAGATGAATAAAATTTAAAAATAATATTTAATTTTCTTCATCCATCATTTAAATCAACCATTAAAGGTTTACAAGCTTGAACGGTACATTATTGTTTACACCTTTTTTCCAAGTTAACATTTTCATGCCTACAAGATTACATTAAAGTACATCAACTGTTCAGGCCTGATGATACAAGATGATTATATCAATAAAACCGAGTACCAACATGTACAAGTGTGATTACTCTTGCAATTATCCAATCTTTAGCTGTTCATTTAATTTTAAATGATTAAAGGGTGACAATTAAAGTGAGCGAGCAAACAGTTTTATCCTCTTCCCATATGAAACAACAAGCCATTCGAGTTGTTGCCTTGATCCAGTAAAGATTGTATTTAATCCTCGTGTCCCTACATCTACATTCAATTGCTATCCTTCATCATGTTCATCAACACAAAGGTTATCCTTTTAGCCATCTTGCTTTGCATTCAAGTTTTTATCGTTACCGCTGGTGGTGATAAGGATTCAGATACAATCATCATGAACGATTCGGGTGACATTATCTGGAAGGAAGACGGTGGTAAAGGTGGCAAGAAAGGTGGAGATACCATCATCATGAGAGAACGACGAAGGCGAGATGTCTTGATACCAGTTATTCGTGCTAACCAGTTTAACCAGTAAATCTCGACTTTCGTTGTGATCATTCTGGTTACGATTTTTGTCTCATCTGTATCTTTGTTTTGCCCGTTTCATTCCTGTTCATCTTGTTTTTACTCGTCATCTCATCCATCATCATTGTCCTTTTTTGCTCTCCATTAACCATCCAGTTAATTTCCAATCATCAATTAAAAATGTTAAATTTGATCTTGTCTTGATTTGATTTTTCAATCCTGGATTGTCCGACTGTCCATTGGATCTTGGTCATTGGATTTGTGTCAGTCAAATTGCGTCTTTACTCAAGTATTTGAAGATTGATTTTTTCAATTTAATTCAACCAATGATTGATAAGCTTGAAATAAATATTGGTGGATCTAAAAAGATTTGTTAATCATTTCTTGTTACTCAGTGAAGATATTGTGGTGAAAAGATAACCGATCTTAATTATCATATCACTAACTTGAATTTGTGTAAAAGGGTTCATTCCGTGCATCACTAGTTTCATGTTTAACCATTCGTTTTACGATCGGTAGCGCTCATCGAAAGTAAAGGTTAAATTTACCGTTAAATTAATACGCGTTAATTAATACTTCGTTTTTACGCAAAATATTAATTCACAATCTAATATCGTTTGAATAATTTTTATTCGATAGCATTGACAGAAAAATTAGATAGTTTGGTTATGATTTGTATTATTTTTGCCGTTTTTCAAAGTCGAACAAAATTCTTGTTTTTTGTTGATTGATGTGTCGAGTAGGATCTTCGTAAGAATTCCGATGGCCGATCAGGTGCAACATCAAAAAGATTGACAGAAATGCGAGCGATCTATTCTATTGCCTGGTCAAGCTTCGATATTCAAGATTTTCGTTTCGATGTGAACTCCTCACTAAACGATTCGATATTTTTATTGAAATGGTTAAGGTGGTTGACTTGGTTGTGTGAGTGAACCAAGTTCATCGAATGACAAATTTTTACTTATTTGTTAGTTTGTTCAAAGTCACCGCAACATCAAAATGTTATTAACACAAAAAAGTATCAAATGATCTGCAAAATTGTCTTCTGGCTTGAAAGCACATGTTTTTGCAAGCAATTGATCATGGAAGGCAAATTTTAAGGCAAAAAGGCATCTTGTCAGACCGTCAAATCAAAACTTAGAATGCTTTTTAAGAAAATTAACTTTTTTTATTCCAAAATAGATCAAACTATAATATTATAAATTGGCCAGTTATTCGAGCTTTGCTAGTCAACATCCTGAATTCAAAATCAATCAAAGAGTCAAGATTGCTATCATTCATAAGCCTGTTAATTTCATTTACTCGTAAGATAATCAAAGATGAATATCTCTAGTGTCGAATGAAAGGACAATCGTCAAATCGGTCGAAGATTCAGAATAAAATGAATCATATCGATAGCTCATGTCGAGTCAAATGTGCCTTCCTAAAAAGCAGATCGAAATTCGAATCCCTTGAGGGGTTATGCGAAAAATCCATTGGGACCTCATGATGACCAATTCGGACCTAATTTATGCTGATTCCAATGATGTTATGCATGTTGCAGATGAATAACGCCATAACCGTTCAACTTGAAAATCAAACTTTCCGCGCTTTATTCTGCTCTCCTTTAAATTACATGACATAAGCAAAACTCGCTGGTACTTACATCGAGTCTAGATCAAAGTAAATAAGTCATGATTATTATCAGCCAAGATTTCATAGACAAGAAATGCTAAGCTATAATCTGATATCAGAATAGTTATCCTTTATTTACAACATGCATTATTGTCAATCATTAACCGTCGCATAAATTGGCGTATAAATGGGAAAAGGGTTTGAGTACAATGTGTATTTTTGACCTCAATTAACAATACAAATGATGATCCTTGAATCTCATAATGATTTGAAACAAAAGATAGTATAAGAGCCTGGTTTGTACAGTCGAGAGAAAAGTTCATTACCATTATCTAATGTGATTGACAATAAAATGATATTTTTCTGGTTTATTAAAGATAAGAATGCATTGTCTGTTTTAATGTTTTTTAAGGCCATTGGGTTATCATAAACATTTATCAAAACAATTATTCATCTCAATCACAATTGTTAGATTTTATCTGTAATTTGTTCAAATCAACTCCTATTTATTTCTCCCAATTTCACACATTTTATTTCAATTGATAGACTAGCAATTACTTCATTCAATCGTGAGAGCTTCCAACTCATTGTTGTTTTTTTCTGTTGAATGTTTAACCAATATTTTCTCTCTGAATTTATCACCTCTTTTGCTGTTCAACGATGGACTTTGACAACGATTTCCAACTTGTTAATCCTGTGCAAAATGAAGCCTTGTTTTCAGGTAACAAATCAATTGACGTGGAAACATCAGCACATTTTCCAGCTCTTTCATTAGCCACTATTGAATCCATGTTCACCTCGGATTCACCTCAAACACCTGTGAACCAACAATCGAATAAACTGGAAGATTTTTCTCACAAAAAAGACAGGTTACTCGAGAATGGTCAAATCAAGCTACTTACCCAAGCAATTGACTCATATTACAACTCAACTTTGGATCCACCTCCATGCAACTCTTCGTCAATGTCCATCTCAACTGATACACATTCCCACTCAAATAGACTCAACGATAATGTTGCGACAACATCAACATCACAGTATTTAAATTTATTGGAAAACCAAGTGACAGGAATTAGAAATAAAGATTCGGCAAAGAATCAAACAAAGGATTGGAGAAACATTTGGAACTCTGATACAGGGAAGAAGATATTGGCTGTTGAATTTTCCCCAATGAATATAAAGTCAGAATTTTTATCAACACAAACTATGTTGGATGGATTTGAGTCATTTGCTATCCAAGAAGCCGTTTATTCTGTACATAGAATTGTACAACATATAGTTGAAAAAGGAACCAGTGAGGATATTTTGAATCAATACAGAGCTGACTTGTACGCTGACCCTCGTCCAGTTGATCTTGTACTTTCTTGTGAAAAGTCTCGAGCATTCAGGAAGTTACATTTAAATGATAAAATTATATTGTTGAAAAACGCATTCTTGGATCTGCGTGCATTGAAAGAAGTAACTGCTTATAATGCTTCAATCAACGGTTGGTATGTAAGTTGAAAGATATGATGATTTTACTTCACACAAAAAGCATTGTTCACTCAGTTCCCATTTCATTTTCAATATTGAAGTTGAGCCATTCAAAATGATGAGCAGAAACAATATTTAATGATTTTCTTTTTTCCTTTCTTTTTTTCAGTTTGGCCATAAAATATGCTCAAGAGAAAAAATTCTCAAAAGAAGTCCAGATTTGTTCAAAAAGATTGTTCGTCTTATGGATAGTTTTCCAGATCGTTTTAGAATTGACATCAATGTTTGTTCATTACTTTTTTTGATTATCATCTTTAACGCTGATTTGCACAAATTGAAGTTCAGAAACCAAATAAAGTTAGTCTTTGCGTTGGTTATCATTTGTGACTTTATTTAATTTTCAACCTTTTCATTTCTCCATCAGATCGGAACAGTACATTTACATTTATTTATTGAAACGATATTTGGTTTCAAGTATTCAACCAACGTGTGAAGCCTTAGAGTATTTTTACCAGCTGATGGCTACAATTGAAGAAATTCGGACGCTAAGAAGAGGAATGGAGCTAGACTTTGATGACTACGGACCTGATGGCTGTTATGTGATCAGAAATCGAGTTGTTAGATTAATTGAGCTTGAAAGGTTTGTATTCACAAGTTTCATGTGCAAATTGTAATTAATGCCATTTTTTCATACATTCTAGCATTCAATGGTGATCAAAACTCGTTCCCAACAATTATTTCAGGGATTAATATGCTTTCTTCGGGTTTTCAAACTTGTTCTTTCAGCAACCTATTTGTAAAATTGAATACACTTACAGTTGAGATCCAGGATTTATAACTGCCTTTTCTGGGCTCAAGAGTGTGCTTTTATAGCTCAAATGATTGCCAAAAGTGGAAGTACCATGGATTGCAAGCAAACTAACCACCTTCGAGTTAAAAATGCTATTAGGGGGTCTCACGCAAATCGAACCAAATTTGTTATTTTACTGAATTTGATCCTGATTATCGTATTGAGATGAATTTCGGTAATCAGTATCTCGCGTAATTCAAATATTTTTTGCAATTAACAAAAATTAAATATCTCAATAAGTACAAGAGATATTTAAATGCAATTAAAAAATCACAAAAATTTACATGTCCCATTGAATAACATTGATTTTAATAAAAAATACAGTTCATGCATAGGGTCCCCCCTTTGACCATTTTTCAAAATACAGCTCGTTTTTGATTTTTGATTTTTTGTCTTTTTTGATTGCATTTAAATATCTCTTGTACTAATTGAGATATTTAATTTTTGTTAATTGCAAAAAATATTTGAATTACGCGAGATACTGATTACCGAAATTCATCTCAATACGATAATCAGATCAAATTCAGTAAAATAACAAATTTGGTTCGATTTGCGTGAGACCCCCTAATACAATGATAATCGTTATATTAATGGTTATAATGGTGATACCAGCGGATTTGTCTGATTTGCGACCAGAAAAGTTTGTTTATACTCGTGCAAAAATGAACTCCAATCTGATTAGAAGCAAAAAGGTTTATTTTGATAGTGGAAAACTTAATTTAACAACTTATCGACTTATGAAGATTAATATTATTTTAGAAATGTACGTAGAAATGATTATTCAAATTAAATTTCTGATTTCCCCAACAACTACCATTTATTGTATTGTTGTTGAATTTTTGTGAGCTCTAATTCTTGTTCTCTTATAAGTTGCTTATAACACTTTGAAATATGAAGATTTTCTTTCATTAAATTTAAATACAGGGCTATTCAGCTACTACGTAAGATGTTGAGCGGCAATTACTCAAAAAATGTCCATGCTATTGAGCTGGGAATCGAATATAGTAAATTTGGGAGACACTCATTTTTTATGTTTCGAGGAAAGGTCATTTAAGGTCATTTTTCGGAAATCGCTAACAATTCCTCAGAAGTCAAATCGTGAAATCATTGTGATGGATAGAGCACAAAGAAACATCATTAAAAAACACTACTTTCTTGCCGACAATTCTTATAATATCTCAATATCTTCTCTATCTTCTATAAGTTTCCTGAAACTGACGTTGGAACGTGGATGAAAATGCATTTCATCTTTGTTCTTTTAAAAACATCGTAGTCAACCCATGGTGCATCCTAAAGAGAAGAAGAAAAGAGAATTGTTAGGTTAAACTTGCTCAGTTTTGGGTTAGTTAACATCACCTTTGCCGCAGCCGCTATATGTTGAAACCTTGATAGACAACAGTGCAAAGACATCAGACGACAATTGATACAACAGCAATATCAATGGAAACTCTTTCTAACCAGTCGAATTCGGTGAAAGCAGATAAATCAAAGAGTAATGAAAGCGAGAAAGAGATGATGAAAGAGACGAAAAATAAATATACAGTGAGATGCCAGATAATGAGATTTTGAAATTACATGATAGGCTGGGTGAGTAAAGCCTGGGGCTTCGTACTTTACAAATACATTAACAAAAAGTCCCATTTATCGACACAGGTTATGGGCATAACTCGCTCATTGAATCTAGATCAACTTAAAGTCATCATCATTGATCAGTCGCGATATTGACAGAAATTCATAGAAACGAAATGATAAGCTTGAACCTGATACCAGAATATTTATCCTTTACATATCTTGTATTGTTGTCAATCATTAACAGTTGCATAAATGGACGCATAAATGGGAGAAGCGTTTGAGTTTATTTTTGACAAATGATAATCTTTAATTGTAATCTCGTAGTGGTTGTTTGAGAATATTTTAGATCATTATGTAATCATGAGCAACCTCTATTCCACCCTCACAGTTTGAAACAAAAACTAGCATGAGGACCCCATGTCCACAGTCGAGTGAAATGTTCATTACCATTATCTCATGTGATTGACAATAAAATGATATTTTTCTGGTTCATTAAAGATAAGAATGTAGCTTTTTGTCTGTTTTGTGTTTAAGAGCATTGGGTTATCATTTATCCATTGTGATCCAAGCAATTATTCATCTCAATCACAATTGTTAGGCTTTATCTGTGATTTTTTCAAATCAACTCGAATTTATTTCTTCCAGTTTGATACTTTTTAATCTAAGTAAACTAGAATTTATCCCATTTAATCGTAAAAGTTTCCAGCTCAGTGTTGTTTTTTTGTTGAATGTAACCAATGTTTTCCCTCTGAATTTATCATCACTTTTTGTATTCAACGATGAACTTTTACAGAGATCTCCAACTTGTTAACACTGCGATGCAAAATGAAGCCTTGTGTTCAGGTGAAAAATCAATTGAAACATCAGCACAATTTCCAGCTCATTCATTAGCCACTATTGAATCCATGTTCACCTCGGATTCACCTCAAACACCTGTGAACCAACAATCGAATAAACTGGAAGATTTTTCTCACAAAAAAGACAGGTTACTCGAAAATGGTCAAATCAAGCTACTTACCCAAGCAATTGACTCATATTACAACTCAACTTTGGATCCACCTCCATGCAACTCTTCGTCAATGTCCATCTCAACTGATACACATTCCCACTCAAATAGACTCAACGATAATGTTGCGACAACATCAACATCACAGTATTTAAATTTATTGGAAAACCAAGTGACAGGAATTAGAAATAAAGATTCGGCAAAGAATGAAACAAAAGATTGGAGAAACATTTGGAACTCTGATGCAGGGAAGAAGATATTGGCTGTTGAATTTTCACCAATGAATATAAAGTCAGAATTTTTATCAAAACAAACTATGTTGGATGGATTTGAGTCATTTGCTATCCAAGAAGCCGTTTATTCTGTACAAAGAATTGTAGTTCTTAAAGGAACTAGTGAGGATATTTTGAATCAACACAGAGCTGACTTTTGCGCTGACCCACGTCCAGTTGATCTTGTACTTTCTAGTGAAAAGTCTCGAGCATTCAGGAAGTTACATTTAAATGATAAAATTATATTGTTGAAAAACGCATTCTTTGATCTCAATTCATTGAAAGAAGTAACTACTTATAATACCTCAATCAACGGTTGGTATGTAGGTTGAAAGTTATGTTGATTTTACTTCACAAAAAGAATTGATCATTCAATTCCTATTTCATTTTCAATACCCAAGCTGACCCATTCAAAATGGTGCACAGAAGCAATATTTCAATGAGTTTCTTTTTTTTCTCTTTGTTCAGTTTGGCCATAAAATATGCACAAAGAAAACAATTTTCATGAGAAGTTTAGATTCATATAAAAAAGCTGTTCGTCTTATAGATAGTTTTCCAGATCGTTTTAGAATTGACATCAATGTTTGTTCATTACTTTTTTTGATTATCATCTTTAACGCTGATTTGCACAAATTGAAGTTCAGAAACCAAATAAAGTTAGTCTTTGCGTTGGTTATCATTTGTGACTTTATTTAATTTTCAACCTTTTCATTTCTCCATCAGATCGGAACAGTACATTTACATTTATTTATTGAAACGATATTTGGTTTCAAGTATTCAACCAACTTGTGAAGCCTTAGAGTATTTTTACCAGCTGATGGCTACAATTGAAGAAATTCGGACGCTAAGAAGAGGAATGGAGCTAGACTTTGATACTACGGACCTGATGGCTGTTATGTGATCAGAAATCGAGTTGTTAGATTAATTGAGCTTGAAAGGTTTGTATTCACAATTTTCATGTACCAATTGTAATTAATGCCATTTTCTCATACATTTCAGCACTAAATCCTGATCAAAGCTCGGTCTTCGCAATCATCTCATATCATCTCACTTACATTTGAGATCCAGGATTAAACTTTTCTTGGCTCAAGAGTGTGCTTTTATAGTTCAAATGATTCCCAAAAGTGCAAGAAACATGGACGCCTCAGGTTTACAAGCAAAGTATTCTCTTCGAGTTAAAATGATACAATGACAATTTTTAAATTAATAGTTATAACGATTATAATAAATAAAAACGGATTTGTCTGATTTGCGACCGAAGAAGTTTGTTTATACTCGTGCAAAAATGAACTCAAATCTGATTAGAAGCATAAAGGTCCATTTTGATAGTGGAAAAACTTTATTTAATGCGCTGATAACTTATCGGTTTAAAGTTAAAATTCAATCTCACAACTCAAATACGATTTCGTTATTATAGTAAGCTTTAGAAATGCACGAAAAATTGATTATTCAAGCAACAGTGTATATACAACAGACAAGAATTGATAAAACAGCAATATGAATAGAAACTCTTTCTAGAACCAGTATAATTCGGTGAAAGTAGATAAATCAAAGAGTAATAGCAGCGAGAAAGAGATGATGAAAGAAACGGCAAAGCCTATTTTCACTTTGGATTTATCTCCTTGGATTCAATTCTTTGTAAGATGATACATCCTGCCAAAAATAAAATATATTTTTAGCGATCCGAGGCCGTCCAGATATCCCGAACCAACAATACTCTTAAAGTCGTAGCTCGCTATAGGCATCACAACAAATTTCTGTAATTCTTACTCTGAAGCATCTTTATCCCACTCTGCTATTGGAGCCTCCGCACCCTCACTTTCTGGTTCCATTTTATCAGCGTCTTCATCATCATTAGCCGATTCTGCTTCTAAGCTTTCGTCTTCATCAATCGGAACTAGAGAAGCCGCATCAACAAAGACTTGTTCCTCATCTGTTGCTTCCAAACCGTCAGCAGGCTCCCCATCGATATTACCAAAGTTAACATCCTCACGTAAGGCCAATGGTAGTCCAGAGGCTGTAACTAAACCACCAGTTGGAGCACGACGACGAATTTGTTAAGTACGAGCACACCAATTAATCATTTGTCACAATACTTGAAACTTTAAAGAGAACTTAACCATAATTAACAATCAAACAAATGTTGAGATAAAGAGACATAAAGACGATAAAAACGTAAAGATTGAAGTTGCTGGTTATAGTTGGTAGTATTGGATGCATGGCGTCTGGCAGGATTTTCGTCTTCGCTATTTCGTTGTTTTGAGCACGATTGTAGCAAGAAATAGTTAAATACGGACAATATTTCGATAATTTTTAAATATTGAATCAAGTTTTGCAGATAATATTTTTATTCTTCCTGGATCAATTTCTTGCTGAGAAAGTAAACTTTCTATTTGTTCATTCAAACTTTGAATTCGTTGCGCACAAGTTGAATTTGAACACTCCGTATTTACATCAACTTCACCAGTACGAGGTAACTCTATGGAGCTTTGTGCATCATCAAACATCATGAAAAACTGATACATATAAAATAAAAATATTAAAAAACCAATGTGTATTGTAATATACCAAGGATTACATTGCATCATCTAGCATAAGCACTCATTTTGAACACTAATTTTGAACATTTGAATTAACTATAATTTAATCAAATTGTTTAAATTTTTTGCAGGACTGTAAAGTACCCGATAAAAGCATTTTTGTTTTCGTCCCATTTAAACCGTCAGCATTCATGATGTTTTGAAAATCACATTGCTTTTATAATCCTTTCATCAACTTAATCTTAAGCGCTGTAACTTTAAGACTGGTATTATCATTAGATAGCTACTTAAAATTCGCATTAATACACAGTATTACTTGTTACAATTAGATATTATTAGGAGAGTGAAATATATTTGTATTTTCTTAACAGGATGTTCGACACATTATCATGCATTTTCACAGCTCGTCAAGAGTTTTGAGGATGATTCAGGATGCATTCAATTCGATTGAACTATCTTGGAACCCGGAAAGGTTTACTGGTGACTTTGAAATGGCGTGTTAACAGTATTCCTATCATTTATGTTGCAATCATGTCTTTTCCATTTTTCACATTACATCTGCCGTAATGTTGGGAAACACAACTTGATTACGTGATATTGCTCAAATCATGGAGAGAATGATGTCAGAATTTCAACAAAAAGGATTTCGGCGCTTCCATTCCACAAATAGACAGATATTATTCCGACTCATCATTTAATTTACAACTTGCGCCACAGAATGATGATACTGGTCATTTTTTGGATTATGTAGCGTCAACTTATTTGGATGCGAATGCCCGTTTCCCATTATGGATATGGAATCATTTTGATAATGCTCACCCTAGGAATAATAATCATATCGAAAGATTGCCTGCAGCCTTGCATCGATCAGTTTTCAAGCTCAATTCTAAATTTTTCATTAGTGTGAATATTTCTCTAAACATGCCTCATCATCATCTCACCTCAAGAGAAAAATAATAAAATTGAAAGCTACACCAAAAGGTCAAGAAAATCCCATAAAAGAACTGCCAATGAGCTAAGATCAACCAAAAGAAATCTAAAGGATATCTAAGGATATTATGAAAAAAATAATCGAATCATTTTGTCTTTGTTTGTGATGCTTGTGCGTATCATACTTGCGAAAGATATTATTTCAATCGCCATCAAATTTCATGTTAACCACTTAACAGCTTCCGCCCAGCTATGTTGAGATCCGATTCTCTATAATCCCAACATCGGATCTGTGGACATTTATGGCTTACGTTATTCAACGGTTAAACCAAAGGCAGATTTTTTAAATTAAGTACTCTTTTCCAGTGTCATATTAATGTGTTTTTTATTTGTTTTGACGAATTTTCAACGCGCTTCTGCTATGGATTCAGTCAACGAGAAATTAAAATTAAGATTTCATTGCAATGAAAGCTTGAATAATGTTACTTTTTGATGCAGCATCGATTATTTGTTAAATTATTGAAGTTGTTACTCGAAATATTGTCTTAGATTGATAGTTATAAGCATTAGAGAAGATGCGATTTCCATGATGAACTAAACAGTTAAGAAAAGGGAGAAAATGAAATTTGTTAACAGAAATCAAATTAATGGTGATCCAACATTTGGTGCATTTCGCAAATAAAAGCAAAAATCCATGAACTATCAATAGCAAAGCATAAAAGTACGACATCTGACCAAATGTTAAATTTTGATATACAATTACCTTAACGAAAAAAGTCTTTTGAATAACAGTAACATCACCAATTTTAACACCATTGATGGGTACAACTGAGCGATCCATAAATTCAAAGATCTGTTTAAGAATCAATCAAAATACAGAAATATGAAAATCGGAGCAAAAATCTGGTCAAAGTATTGATTTTTTACCTTTAAATACGTAGCAATAGAGAGTTTATTTGATTTACAGATTCCATGACAATTTGCGTATACTTTTTCAATCTAAAGATTAAATTAAAAAATAGAATGTAATTAACAATTGAACCTAAAAGACTAACCTAAAAAGACTCTTAATGAGAGGAAACATTACTTTATTAATGAAGCCATTCGCCACAAAACAAACCATTCCTAGTAACATAAATATAAGTGTACCCATTGTGGCATAAAGTGTCGCCAACATTTCGCTGTAAAAGTTTATGATTAACCCATAAAAGGTAAACAAATCACCAAAAAAAGCACAAACAGTGAAAGCATAAAAGATGAAATACTTCATTTTATTTGAGTTTGTTTCTGAGTTGTTCAAGCAGATTATCGTTTTCCGGATAAATTGCTGTATATGTTGATCTTGGCCTGAATAACGGACAAACTGGGAAACTTCAATGAGGGACTCAAGTTGATGAAGGTAAATCATTGTCATAATAAACAGATAACCTGCGAACCCAAATATTTGAGCTAAAAGAGTTATAAAAGAGTAACAAATGATTACACTCCAAATGGAGCAAGTTATTGTTAGATAGTAATATTTGTAATAATATGGATTGGTAAAGCAAACGCTATAATAGGCAATACAGACGAAAGGTCCAGTTGAAACGACGACTCGACTGAAAAAAATCGCTGTTATGTGAACAGTAGTACGAAAAGCATTTGTCTGATGTTGAGTCATGTTTAAATAGTCGGCTTTGAATCCATTGATGCGAATATAATCGTAATAATTTAAGCTTGACATTTTACCTTTACTTTCAAGAGCCAAAGCCCATTCACGGGCAACTGCAAGTATCAGCATTGAACTGGTCAGTAAGATATTCAACTGGAATCTATCCTTAGATCGGTAAACAATGTCGCCCAAATGAATCTGAAGAGTCTCATTGTTGGTATATGTTATGATAAATAGACGAACAAGGTTTAGAGAATAACAAATTCTCATTAAAATATTGTTGTAATCAAGGGTTGATGAAGTTTTAATTGGGAAATTTAATGTTTCCACTGGTTTGGTTTGTCTAAAGCCAAAGCGTAAAACACGAAAAAATATCGTCAGTCTTTCAAAGTACTCAAGATGCTTAATGGTTGAGGATATCGGCTCGTCTTTCGTGGGATAACCAATAAAATATGCCAACACTTTTATCAATAATTTAATTCGACTATTTGCTGATGGACTAAATGCACTGGACGAAGAAATTGAGTTCATTTTATTGAAATCTTAATACGACGTATGCAACATTGAAATGATATAAATAAATGTTGTAATGACTGGTAAATCAATTGAACAAACTATTAATACATTTCGACATTTCATTATTAAACCAGAAAATTCCCAAGTTGATTTCAATTTTACTTTACTTTTGTTTACTTGCACTGACAAGTTGTGAGTTCAATGATGGAAAATTATTGATCAACTATTTGATTTAACTATTGAATATCGATGAAAGGCAAAATGTGAACAAAAATTTCATTGAATCAGTAATAATAAAAGGTCAAACAACAAGTGATTCTTATCAGCAGTTAGAATCGTTTCCGTTAATTGAAGTACATGTAAAACAAATACAATTAGTGTATTATTATTATATAATACAGCCGCGAAAGAAAAGTTTGACATAGTTACCATTAACTTAGCGCATATACAATCGTATCTAAGCACAATCAGCATTTACCGCAAGAGTTCAGAGTGCTT